AGATGAACTATTTGCCAATGGCCCGATGCGATAGGCCTTGCCTTTGACTGCCAGTCCGTCCGTCTACCTCAACACTCACGGCACCGTCCTGCGAATGGGCCTTTTGCCGAAATTATCGATCCTGCCTCAGCGCCATGTCGGGCTTTTGCCGAGATTATCGATCCTGCCTCAGCGGCCAGTCGGGCTCTTGGCGGGCTGTGCGCTGGGGCGCCACTTTGCACAGCTTGCTGGCGGTCGGCAGTCGGCGGTCGGCGTTGTTTCTTTGCCTCTCGTTCCATCTCGCCTCGCTTCACCTGTCCTCGCATCCAGCTTTCGCGCTCGTCACACTCGGCCAGCCCACTTTTGGCCTCTTCACCTTTGCCCTTTGTCCTACTCCTCGTTGCCCATTGCCCTAACCTCATGCGTCTCGTGCCTTGCGCCTCGAGGCCTGCAATTTGCCTCGGGCCGCTGCAACGGAGAATCCAGCCGTTCAGTTGTGACGCTGTCCGCCGGCTTTCCCGTTCATATCTTGCCCTGCGTCTGTCTGTCAACTGTGTGTCCGTGTGCAGTGTGACTGTCTGCGCATCGGCGTCGCGGCGCATGCCACTCGTGCATTCGTGCATTCGTGTAGGCACATGGAAAACGGCACAGACATCTCGTCTGTACGAGGGTTGCATTGATTCTCTCTGTTCAGTCTATGCGTTTTACATCGATTGATGCAATCGACATATCGTCCACCTGGGCCTGCGATAGCAAAGAGCAGAGACACAAACCGACCGAGACGCACCGACCAGCGCCCGGCTTAATCGGCCTAACTGGCCCAACCGGCCCAACCAGCTTGACCAAGTTGACCAGCCCAACCGGCTCATGCAGACAGTCTGGAGACGCCCACACGTTCGCATCTCGGCCCGACTGCCCTGCCTGGCTCGGGCTACAGCCGGTCGCCACCACCACCACCACCTCTCCTTCCAATTCGTCCCCTGCCTCATCCCCGTACATGTCGTCCTCTTCCTCGTCCTCTTCCTCGTCCTCGTCCTTCTCCTTTAGCCTGTTCTCTCTTTTGTGCGCTCCGCCTTTGTCCCATTGGCTGCCTACTTTTGCAGCCATTTCTTGTCCAGACAATTCCAACGTTGCCTTGACGTAGGACCAGACGACTGCATACAATCCTAACCAATCGATATCGATCAATAATATGTAGTATTCTCTCTCTCTCTCTCTTTCTCTCCCTCGTATTCTGTCTATTGCTCCAGCTCCCTTGTGTATTCTCTTCTATCAGCCATCATTGTGCTTTAGCTCCGTTTTGCTTCCATCTGCATCGTTTGTTTCGTTCTCTCTTTCGTACGTGCCCATGTCTGCCTCAGATCATGTGTTCGTCTGTGCATGCATTTTGTGTGTGTACACAGAGGCTTTGTTTCAATAAGCCTACTACCACCAGTCTCTACGAGGCAGCCTACAGGCTGTTTCTCTCTGTCTGTCCGCCTGTTTGCAATTCGTCTTGGCTGTTTTGATCGATTCCTTGCGGCTTGCTTTGCATCAATATGCTATTTGCATTTGTCTCTTTTTCCGCTTTCCGTCTGCGTTTTTTGTCATGCTTTTTTCACTGTAGCCATAGCGCCTGGTTGTGCTGGACGCGGACTGGCCTTGTTTACAACATCTTAACACGGTCCCGCGCCTATTATCGATCTGCCTCCTTGCCAGCAGCCTTTGCTCGACATCGACTGTCCCCTGGGCTCTCTTTTGTCTGTCTGTATAGATGCCTCTCTCTAACTCTCCAGTCTAGCCCTGCTTGTGGCTCTTCAGACGCGATCAATACGTCTAGCCTCTGACCTGACCGATCTCCGAATGACTGCATTTA